CGCCCCCGCCGAGGGCCGGTGCCTCCATCGGCCCGGGAGCACCTCGGTAACGCTCATCTCGCTCTGGGAATGTGATACTTACTCTTGTACTGCTCTGGCTATGGAGAGCGCTGTAGATCCAGTTTCATTAACGCTATCTAAGGTCACATTTGGCAGGTCGTCATCATCACTGTCACTTTTAATTTGTCTGGGAGATAGGCCTCGGGGGTCCATTTGTGCTGGAAAGAAGACATACAATGGATTAATATGAGCGTGCTGAAATTAATCTCCTCCCTGAACAGGGCACACAACACATCCGCTCGCTCGGGCCGGATGGCACCACTTGTGCTGAGCTTCCCAAACCAGGGGACGGATTCACAAAGGCACCCAGCGGTGCTACACCGAGGGGCAAGCACTTCCAGTGGCATGCAGGCATGCGAACCACACTGGCTACACCAACACATTCAGCGGACCTGAAATAAAACTGCACATATAATACTAGGCAAAAAACTCAGATTACCCTCGAGTTACTAATTCTGGATGTCTTCAGAACGCAAAGAGAAAGGGCTATGTCCGCTTTGCACAACACAGCACACTTGAGAGTAAATTTTACAGCAAAATTTCAGGAATAATCTTTGATTTGACTGTCTATCACAAGATAGCAGGCTGGGACCCATGTCACTCCAGTTAACTAAAAGTTAGGTGTCAATAAACCTTCAGTTGGGCTCATTTCTGACTCAATTCAACACCAGTGTCAACCTCTTAAGGAGCCTTCCCTCCACATTACATGTGTCAAAACTACTGCATCTAACTTCACACAGGCAACTAACTTTCTGGTGACTGATGGGCTTGGGCAGATTTTTTTTGAAAAGTCACATTACGAACAGCTGAAGGTCAGGAATTGCAGGATTCTTTTGTCCATCCACAGCTTATGGCATCCATACTGTATGGCAATGCACGGGCTGCAGGGGCAGCCTCTGTGAGAAGAGGCCAGGGCTGCCCCACGCTGAACACAGCCGGTTCCAGCCGACCCCCTGCAGGGCACGGCTGAGCCCCTCACACACCCCTCAGGTGGTGACCCTGGGAAAACGTATTTAAGAAAGGGTAAAACACACAGGCAGAGCGAGGAAGAAAGTGTGGAAAAAAAAGCCCTGCAGACATCACAGTGAGAGGGGAAGGAAGAGAGGAAGACCTGCTCCATGGTGGACCAGAGCTTCCCCTTCACCTGAAGAGACCATGGTGCAGCAGGGGAACAGCAGAAGAAGGAAGGAACAGCAGAGAGGAGCTGTTACGGGCTGACCACAGCTTCCGTTCCTCATCCGCCTGAATGAAGGAGTAAATCTGAGGCAAGGAAAAATTGAGTGGGGGCTTGGTTCTTACCATCCTAATCCACTTTTAATTGTCAGTATATTAAATTAATTTTCCCCAAGTCAAGTCTGTTTTGCCCATGACAGAAACTGATGAGTGATCTCCATGTCTTTATCTCAACCCATGGGCTCTTGCACCTTATTAGTCGCCCTGTCCCATTAAGGAGAGTGTGAGAGTAGCTGGGTGGGCATCCGGCAGCCAGCCAAGATCAACCCACCAGAGCTACAATTTGTGCCAAAAAGAGATGGGGGGAAGGGGGGGAAGGGAGGGAGGGGAAGAGGAGAGGGAGAGGAGAGGAGAAAGGTGGGGTACCTGCCTTCCCTCTTATCCTGGCTGCTGCCCTCCAAAGGGAAGTAAGCTCAACCTGCATATGGGCAGGTAGAGGAAACCAAGAGACAGGTATGAGGGGGACTATGGGGCGCAAGTGTGACCTGAGACAGTCCTGAGAGGAACTGGGGGTTGCTTGTGTCAGGGAACAAACCCAAACACAAACTTCAGAGGTGATGTAAAGAAAGAGACATTCTTCCTCACCCATTAAATACCACCTAAGATTAGTAAGTGCTGAGAGACACTGAAAGCAGCTGGAGTAGAGAGCGAAACTGAAGAGACACCTTCAAGGGAGGAACGGGAAGGGGAAGACAGGCAAAGAGATTTGTTTAAATACGTGTTGGTTTTGTTTGGCCAGGTGAAACAGGGGAACACAAGATTATTTATTTAAAAAGCTAACTGTGGAGTTTGTTAGCTTGTGCCCTCCTGTACTGCAGTGTCAGAGAAAGGACACTTCCAGGGCCTTGCAACCTGCTTTTCAAGAAAGGTAGCTGTCATTCCTACTCAGCTCTGGCTAACCATGGCCCTGGACAACAGGTAGCACAGGCTCCCTTTAGAGATCATGAACAGCTCCGTGGGCCTTACAGCTAGACGGCTGCTCCAAAAGTCACAGTTAAATTTGGCATCTTTCTTATGTTACTGTGTCCACTGACTCTAGAAAAGGGACTGAGTTATACTGGAGAATGGAAGGGCTGTAGATAGTCCAGGAGCTGTGCAGCCATAAAAGTAGTACTGATGGATAGCTGAGCTCTTGAAAAGAAAGCCCTCCCCAAATGAGTGACGACTCCAGGGAAAGTTGGTATTAAATCTTATGTCTTAGTTGTGAACCACCTCTGAGTAAAAGAGGAGTCAGTCATTATAACTATCCTTCAGCTGCATTTTTTTTGTATGTAAAAGAACTTAATAAGGAAAATACTATTAAAATATGTTCTGTATGCTGATGCAACAACCCCTTCTGGAAGCACAGTGCATTTACCTTTCTACTAGCACAGCTTAGGTGCCTAAGTAATACTGCCTACATTTGGACTGCTTATTACTTCTTGATGTGTGATAAAGAAAACACCTTTTGCTTATCATAGCAAAGACTGTTGACAATGAACCAATGACCTATATAAGACAAATATAAGACAACTTAGAAATGGTTCAAAACATTTAACTGTTTTAGGTAGAATAAGCACCATTCTGACTGTGCTTCTTAAAATCATGACATGATGGTATTCAGTGAGTACCTGAGTATTAGGGATAACCTAATACTTGATTTAAGAGCAACTGAACCGTTTAGTCAGCTGATATAGCCCCAGAAAAGTACTTGGAAAGACGTGCTATTTCTGAGGATATCTTGTTCCCTAACGCTCCTTCTTAAAAGCAAACTTAAGTATGAGATTATTATTACTTATTTCATTACTTCTCCAGTTTTTCTTAAAGTGAATCTCATTACAAGTTATATGTTTGTATCTGCCCAGTATTTAAATGCTCCTATACATGATGTTTTTTGTGAAAGCTAATGTTTGTAAATAAAGTTAAAATTGTAGCAAAAAACTATGTATGTGATACTCTGTATTAACGGTGGCTTAATCCGATTTAGGGCTACAGCAAAAGTTTTAAGTGGCTAGCTCAGAAACTTTCTTAATGCTAAAACTAAGCCTAACTTGAAGTAAAGTAAGTTGTTACATAATTTAGTCTATAATACAGCTATTATACACGAATTTTGATCACTTAAACGTGAATACACCTACATAGAAAGAGACAGTATAGATGTATATGAAAAATCTTACGTACTTTTGCTCCTTGTAAGTCACACCGTTTCATTACTATTGCAAATTGCCAGCTCTTAAGATATTATTGGTACTCCTTTGATATTTGGTGTTGTTTTTAGATTATCAGAGGAATGTGCTAGGATGAAAACTCTCACTTACATTAAAACACTACCTTCTTTTTGTTTCTGCTCAGCAGGTAAGTGCTGCTCTGTATAGTCCTAACAAAACCATGAAGTTGCCAAATGGGTTGTGCTTTTGCACCAGGGGATAATTTGGCCCACGGGGCTCGGTTTGCCCCACCAGACAGCAATGTATGAGCACACCAGGAGGTGCTGTGCATGGTGAGAACAAAAGGTGAGGAATGGAAACATACCAGTGGGCAAATTCAAAGGCGGGCAATTCAAGGACATTTTTTGTTATATTTTTGCAGTGAACCTAACTAAAGATGATAATTAAATTAGAGAATGATCTAGGGGTTATTTCCTTATTGTTTAATGCGGGCCCACATATACACCCTTTTTAGTCCCCTCCTCCATTTGTGAGCTCTTCTCAGCTTGCAGACTCGGGTGGCCAAGGCGCTGGGGAGGCGAGGTGACTAACCAGGAGGCTGAGCTTCCCTGCTGCCAGCTGGTCTAAACTGCCCCGTTTTCTCATCAGCCTGCCTGCAGCTGCTAAAGGGAAAAACAACCTTCAAAGCTCTTCTCCTCCCCCAAAATGAGCCATGTGAATAACCAACTGGCTGAAAGCCTAACAGATATCTCCTCCTCACCACTCACCACAGTGTGCAAACTGCAGTACAGGATTTTTATACATTCAGAGTTCATAACTCCTACTTATGTCAACAGCTTTGACTTTCTCTTGGACATCTAAGAACAAATGTCGAAATGCTGGCACCAAGGTTTTATAAATACCAGCAGCAGTTCATAAACATTGAATTAAGAGTAATTATTGGCCTAACGAACATCAAACTGGAAAGAATGAAGAGATGCAGGCAGGAGATAATTTAGCAAATGAGATTAAAAAAGTGGAGGACAAGTTGAGTAATGGAATGCAATTGGCAAGCAAGGTGGAGGAGAGCCCACAAAACTTGCCAGTGCATTTTAACCTCCCTCTGTGCTGTACCTTGCTCTAATGACCAAGCTTTTCCTTGAACTCAGGACCACTGGTCCAGAAGTGACCCAGCTGGGTCACTGAATCAAGTCCTCCCTATCACAAGCAGGCACATTTCATTAATAAAGCTCAAGCCTTAAAAACGAGCTGGTTTTCTTGCCCTTGCTGCTCCTCTGGAAAGGCAAGAATTGTCCAACAGAGCTACCTGGTGGTTTTTTTAAGTGTGAATGAGGCAAAGGCGAGGCAAGCAAAAATAAATGAGTCAGAGACTGCTTTCGTGGGACAAAGGTGTCGTTGAAGGAGTGCACAGGAGCTACAGAAGCGAGCTGCTCAAAAGAACGGCGAGCCAGGGGAGTTATTTAAGAACCTCTGCAAGCGCTGAAGGTCACGAGCAGCCACGTTGCTTTCCATCCTTGTTAGCCTCACGAAACAATGATCCTTTTTGCTAAAGAAAGTACAGAGCATTGTTCTTGATGCATGTACATATATGCAACCACTTCTCAATGGCCCTTTGCCAAACTGTACCAAAAAGGAGTTTCCCTGTGGGCAGTATGAGCAAATTCACTCTCTGCACTTGTTTTAAGGTAAGATGTGCAAATGGGTCTCACATAAGGCACCTACCAGCCTGTAAATACTCCAGAACTTGGTCTACCATCATTAATATTGTATCTGCCAAC